ATCATCCCACCATCATCATCCCACCATTATCATCCCACCATCATCATCCCACCATTATCATCCCACCATCATCATCCCATCCACCATCTTTCCCACCCGTATTATTATCTTAAATTTTTTCTTTTTTCAGAGCTACTTTCACTCCTCAGGGTGGTGTGTCGCATGCCCAGAGGGAAACCCCCAAAAATGAAATTTGTTTTCGTGATTTTTTTTAAGTTTTATGTTTGCCTGGCTGACGTCCGTTTTCCTCCCCGTGCGTTGGGCGTGTGCTTCGTCTACATGTGTGTGTACGTGTGCACCTGTAGGTGTACGTGCATGTGTGCACATATATGCGTATGTATGTACTCATGTGACCATGTACCTATCTACGTATGTACCTATGCGTGAATCGTTCCTGTGCTTGTGTGACGAGGCGCAGTTGTCCCCTTTTGTCGTTTTTTTAAGTCATTTTCCATGTTTGTCCCAATCGTACCATTTACCGTTTAATCGAATTCACTGTCGTACGATTTCAACTTAAAATTTGCCTGACCTGATCATATTAACTAGCTTTTTCTTTTTTTTTCTTTTTTTTTTCTTTTTTGGCACAATGGGTTTGGCTGTTTTTGAGAATGATAAAAATTTGTCATTTAATGGAGTGGAGTAAGCGGAAAAACGAGAAAAGGAAAAAAAAGTGGAAAGAACGAGAAACCGAAAGATCGCCAATGTAGACCAGTTCAGCGCTCATTTTAACGAAAATGTTTTCGCAGCAAAATAGTCGATGACGTTTACAAGGACAACCTCAACTTCCTGATAAAGGTGTGACCCGTGGGAGCGGTTGCTTCGAAACGGAGTCGGCGCCCTTCACGTTTACCTTCACCTCTGTGTGCGCATTTCTGTTCCCTTCATTTCGTCTTATTTATTTATTCACTCATTTTTGCGGCCACCACCGCCCATTTGCAACAACCCTGAAGAGCAACAAGAACGAATTGGAGCGGAAAGAAACGGACCAATTCAGTTTCAGCATTGACAACCTCTTCATTCTACTGGAAGAGGAGGAACAGCGACGCCACGCCGAGAGGGATCAAATGAAGGACACCCTTCAAAACATAGGTTTATAAAGCGACATTTTTTGCATGCTGTTTATATGATAAGTAAATACATGCGTTATTCTATGTGCCTACACAAATGGGTGCGGCCATAAATGTACCCACACGTTTGTCCATGTGCGTGCCCCTGGCGCGACACGTCTTTCACAGCTCTGCAGCTAAAGAACGTGAAAAAATCAATTAAGAAGGCGGAGAAATATCTTGAGAAAAAGGTTCCCCCCAATTGCTCAAGTCGAATATTGCCCTTTTACAATGCGTACTTATGCCTAACGTGTATCATCCCCTTCCTGTTCTGCTCCATTTTAGGAATACGGGGAGATGATTGCGGGCTCGCACAAGGCGCTGGAGGGCATCAAAAAGCGAATCGATGATTTGTGAAGCGGCACGCGTTGGTGCGCGGCGCGTCTGTGTTTTCGTCTGCATCTGCGTCTGTTCTTTCGCTTGTACTTGCGCTTCTTCTTTCCTTGCGCATTTGTGTGACGGGGAGTTTTTCCCCTCCCTGTCCCCTTTTCCATGCTGTTCCGTTCCCCCTTTCATTTTTTTAAACTTTTTCACATACGACTACGTGTCATGTTGATGCTGTATAGCGTCCAAACGGGCGATTAAAAGTAAAGGCGAAACGAGACAGACAAAGCGAAACGTAACAGACAAAGCGTAGCAAATCAAATGGAAGGAAACAGAACCTAACTGCGTTAGTCGCGCGAATTAACTGGGTGTGGGATGGCCCTCAATTTTTCGCCTATGTACTGACGCAGCGGAAAAAAGGGCGATGCGCAAATGGTGCAAATGGGGCAAATGCAAAATTGGGAGGGGCAAAGTGATGTTTTAAATTTCTCTTCTTTGCCAAATGTACAATCACTTTAGCGGGGGAATGTACACTTGGGAGGGATGGCCCCAAGGGCGGGAGTAGCGTAACATGCATGTATGCGCGTCTGCGTGCGCTCATCTTTGAGGGTGCGCACTAACGAACATCTCCCGGCACAATTTATCCGCTACGTCATTTTCCGCCAACAAGCGAATAATGCGCTTATCTTTCACTTGGATTTCTTCCTTCAATTTTTTCACTTGGGCATAGCACAACTGTACTTTCCCTTTTAAACAGCCATTTTCATTTTGTAGCTCCGCCATTTTGTGTTTGTAATTTTTTATTTCCTCCCGGAGATTATACAGTTCTTTCTTCTTAACGAATTCATCTTGCATGGCAGAAAAATTGTTTTGAAATTTGACGGCCTTTTTAAACCTCGCCTGGTCCTCCTTGTCCCTCTGCCACAGTTCGTTTTTGTAGAACGTTACCTTTTTTTCGAAGCTCATTTTACAATTAGAGGTGTCGCCCGGGGGATGTTCACATTCGTGAGTCCGCTCGTCAGTCCACTCGTCAGTCCACTCGTCAGTCCACTCGTCAGTCCACTCCTGCGCAACCGTGGCATGGGACTTGCGAACAAGACATAGAAACTTGCTCCTGAGGCGTTTTCCACCGACAGGAAGGGACATGCCAACGCGTGTGACGCAACGTACGTGGTAGCCACGTTGATCTCTTATAATTCGCCTTGCTCAGGGAGACAGAGGGCAAAGGGATCGGTTAATCTAAGGCAAAAAAAAAGAAAAAAAGAAGAAAAAAAAAAGGACACAAAATGGACAGATTCAACTAATCTGAAGGAAAGGAAAAAACAAAAAAGAAGAAAAAAAAAAAACGCTCCTTATGCCCCTTCACCCGCAGTGGAATTTACTTCTTACACAAAATTAAAGACACAACATATCTGTGGCACATTTGGAGTTGTGCACAGGAGGTTGCATTCTCAATGGACATAAAATCGAGCAAGAAAAGGAACGTAAAAGGAAAAAAAAACAAAAATAAGAACAAAAATAAGAACAAAAACAAAAATAAAAAGCAAAACAAAGGAACGGCAATAGAGGAAGCGTTGAGCAGCGCAAAGAGGAAAGCATAAGAATACGATAGGCGACGAAACCCACCACACACACACCTGTAGAATTAAAACACAAATGTATAGCCATTCCTGATCTGAGCTCATCTACCACAGACAACACAGAAAAGAAAAAAAAAATCTTTTTTTTTTGTTCACATTTTTCTCAGTTTGTCTAAGCACCATTAGCACCATTTTTTTTTTCTGCCAATTCATATGAATAGCATGACGAAAAATAGACTTCTAATAGAATCGCGCGAAGCCAAAAAGCAAAATGACCCAGACATAACACTCACTCACAGGTACATACAATTGATGGGAACAACTATGGGGAGAAACCCTTTTCTGCCATTTGTTTTTTGGCCCCCTTTTTTTCCCGTCCGTTGGTGCGCCCATCTGGAAGGCCATTTGCGTGCAGATTTCCTCTGAGCGTTCTATTGTCTACGAATGTGTGGGGGGTGCCCTCATGGTTGTATTTTTTGTTTCTCCATTTGATTAGCGTGCATAACAGGATTAACGTCTGCGTAGCAGTTATGTGCCGGCATGTAGACATAACCCCTGTGCATGCACCACCCCCGACCAAGTCGTCTACATTGCACCAATCCTGGCTAAGCCGCTTAACATGACACCAATTTCCCCCATTCCGCCCATTTCTCAGTGATTACAATCTGTACGAGTGGCAAGCAGTTATACGGGGTCCAAAGGACTCCCCCTACGAGGTAGAGGCGAAACCTGCTCAGCAGATTTTTAGTCAGCAAGGCGGCTCCTTTCGATGTCCAGATTACGCGAGTGTGTATGCATATATCTTTGTGTACATACTTGTGCGCAAACGTGGCCCTTAATTCGTCGTCGCTTTTCCCCGCAGGGAGGAAAGTGGAAGCTGAGCATAAAGTGCAAGAGCACGTACCCGATAGACCCCCCGGTGATAACCTTCGTCACGAAGTTTTTTCATCCCAACGTGAATTTCGTAACAGGTAGGGCGGTGCGGACCCTCCGGTTGGCAGCGAGCCGAAGGAAGTAGCCGTTTCAGTTGCCCTCGCGAGGGTAAACATTGTCATAGCATCACTCACTGGGCAAATTGCACCTATTGTACCTATTGCACCTATTGCACCTATTGCAGACATTTTTCTCCATATTTTTTTTTTTACCCTCCCCAAGGCGAACTCTGCATGGATATTTTGAAGGCCAACTGGAGCCCGGCATGGACCATTCAGTCCCTCTGTCGAGCAATTCTATTTTTATTCACCGAGCCTAATGCGGAGAGTCCTCTGAATTGCGACGCAGGTTGGTGCTATTGCGCGGGGGCAGGAGCGGATGCGCCGAAGGGACCCCCATTTAGGACTTCTCTTTCAAACCTGAATGGTTAAGCGGTTTCCGTATAAAGGGTTGGCCGTTATGCGGTTGGCGGTTTGCCGGCCGCTGTGATTGTTCCTGTACATGCAGACAGCCCCCCAAAGCGTTCACCTTGTTGAGCTAAATTGTGTGCACAAAAAAAAATAAAATAAATAACATAAAATAGAAAACGCTTTTATCGCTCTACAGGCAACCTGCTGCGGTCTGGGGATGTTAAAGGATTTCAATCGATGGCTAGAATGTACACGCACGAATTCGCTATGCAGAATGACTGATCCGATGGCTGTGCAAATTTGGTGTGGAAGGATGGACGTGTTTTGGGGTCACCCCTTTTCTTTTTTTTTTTTTTGTGTAGAAACGACTCGTTTGGCATATACCCACATGGAAGGTGCTTATCAAAAGGGGGGAGTCCAAATTGAAGACAACCGCGTGCGTATGATTTTTCCCGCGTTGCATTTTTCGTCACCCAACAGGTGCTGCACCGAGGCCACTTCACCAGGTCATCATGCCTACGGCTAAGCAGTGACCCATAGGAGGTGTACGTACCTATAGATATATATATGTATCTGTTTATGTGTACACCTTTTTTTTATAGTTATTTTAAGGGTATTTGTCAGCTTATAATACCTGCCCCCCCTATTGTTTATGCACGTCTTCCCCTGTTCTGCTCGATATGCTTCACTTTATTTGTGTGTGTGCATTGTATGCCCCGTTCTCACTGTCCTGTAGAAAAAAGTCTTAAAAAGGGAACCAACCAATTTGAACTTCTCCAAGTTGTATCGTAACGTGGTGTCCATTTCTTGTGGAAGGGACTTCTACCCCTTCAAGGGGTTGGACATGGACTACACCGTAACCACTCTCCTCAAATTACATGTCGATGGCAAAATGGGAATGTCACCGAACGGTTGAGCTTACTATATGAAGTGAAACTTTAATTCTTTAAGCGCAGGGAAACGGATGTGGCGCTATACATAAACAGTTTTTCCAGTGTCAAAAAAAAAAAAAAAAATACGGGGAAGGTATGTATGATCAGGGGTAAAAATAAGAAATACAAAAAAATTGTGACGAAAGTAAAATGGGACAAGGTGATAAAAAAAAAAGAGAAAGAAAAAATGACATTTTTGTTTGATGTGTAGGAAGGGGTGCTGGTGTGCAGGGAACACGTTTACTTTTCTCGCCTCTTTTCTCCCCTTCACGCAACACCAGAGGTATGCCACTAGACGGGGGGGGGAAGCGCTGCTCACTTGAAAGAATTCACTTAGCGTCGCAACGCTGTGGTCACCTGGGTGATGATGTACACCTCTGTTAGGATGCTTCTATCACCACACAGGGAGGCACATGCCTGAGGGGATTTTTCCAACTTTTACACGGCACAAATTTTCTCATGTGTATGTGTGGCTAGCCAACTTCCAATTTTAACTTAATGCACACACACAGAGGGGGTTGTGGAGCAAACTTTGGGGTTCCGAAGTCCAACAGGTGATATTCATCTCCTCTGTCCATGGTGAAGAGATAGCAGGTGGGTACTTCCTCCCATTTGAGAGTCTGCCTCTTTTTTTTTGGGGAGGAGGGTACAAAACTATTTAAAGGTTGGAGGTATTCAAAATGGGGGTGAGTATAATTATGTTAACATTGTGAGGGGGCGATTTTTCTTATTTTGTTCATTTTGCTTGACCTTGGCCTGATGAGTAGAAGCCACCCCTTTTGGGACGATCAGATGGGACATTTTCCACGCCATAATGGAAAGCCTAATTTTAATTTTTGCACAATGGGGCAGGGGACCACTCCATGCGGTGACTTCCTATCGTCAGTACCTTTCTCTGTAAGCCATTTCGCGCCTGAGCTTCTCTTTCAACCGCTGCCTCATCTGCATTTTCTCCGATTCTTTAACCCACCACGGTTTGTTGCTGCTGGACCTTCTTCGCCTTCGTCTGGGCGAATGAGAGGAGTTGCTATAGCTGAGGGATGAGCTGTGGTATCTCTTCCTCATTTTTCTAATTTTGCTTTCTCTGTCACGATACCTGCTTCTTCTATCTGACTCATACGAACTTAACGAATCGTTACTCCTGGTGCGGTGCGAGCTCCTGGAGCGGCTATCATATTTTTTCCTTCTACGAGTGCTGCTGCTATGCTTTCTATGGCTACGTTTTCGCCTGGAGCCTCTTTTGCTTCCATGCCTCCTGTCACTGCTCCTGCTGCTGGATGACGAGCGGGAGCTGCTTCGAGACGAGTAAGACGATTCACTGCTGCTGTATTTCTCACTCCTGGATTTTTTGTCTTTCCTCACTTTGTTCTGTGTTTCATCCGCTTCGTTTGTATCTCTGTCTACGTTTTTATCTTCCTCCCCCTCATCGGCGTCCTCTCCATCCTCTTTAGCCTTTTTCTTCCTCTCGGCCTTCTCCCTCGCCTCGCTCACGTTGGTCTCACCGGGTCGACTGACCGATCCGTTGTTACTCTCCGCTATCGCTTTCGTTTGCTGGGCAGTGGGGGAGGAAGTGGTTCCCCATGTGAGCCCACCTGCCACTCCTGCTGCCATTCCAGCGGCGTTCGCAACTCCCATGACTTCTGTCATTCCCGCTACTCCCGCTGCTACCCCCTCTGTGGATGTCCCGATCAGCTGCGGATTAACCTGCACGAGGTTATTCACAATGACAGGACTTGGATTATACATGGCAAGAAGCTTCTGATTCAGTTTGTCTCGCAAGGCAAGGACCTTTTCCACCTTCTCATTAACGACAGGTTTCTTCTTTGCTGGGGGAGGATCACTCACGTCAGTCTTGGTGTTCGTCCCACTTGTGTTGTTACTATAAAATGAGAAATTATTTCTCAAATTATCTTTTTCGTTGATTAAGCTATATGCATCTTTTATGATAATTTCATTCGTTCCTATTTTAGTCCCGTTCATAAGTAACGCAGCCTTGGCATGTTCTTCGTCAGTAAATTCAACAAACGCAGTGTTCACTTTTTTCTGCTCGTTGTACTGGAGCTTGTAGCTCGTAGGGGTCCCGACATTCTTGAAAAGGGCCTTTATATCATCTTCCCTGCACTGTGTGGAGAGGGATAAGAGAAGAGCATAAGTGGGTCAAAGGAGGCCTCGATAATTATAGATAGGAGGGCATGTACCTCCAACCAAGTATCTCTAATCAGATCGGTCCAAATGGAATATACGCATGCTTACATTTGGAGGGACATTTTCCATGTAGATAATTTTGGAGAAGACATCAAATTTGTTGTTCTTTTCGTTCAGCGAATTTTGGAAGTCCACGAGTCCCTTCTTCTGCTCCGATATGAGTTGCTGCTGGAGGAGGATGTTCTGCAGGGCCTGCGCAGTGGGAGAGGTGTAAGCGGTTTGGGGAGGTGTGCAAGGTTGGAGAGGTATGCGCGGTTCCACGTGCAGCACAAGTGGTGTGTCACCGCGTGGGGGACGTCGCGCTGCTTGGAGGAACACCTGAACGGTGAATGCACTTGGGGCTGCCACACATTCCTCACCCATTTATGCTTTACCTGGTACTGCACGCTCTGCGCGGCGGCACTGTTAACAAGGGCGCCGGTTCTTCCATCTAGTGAGGTGGCTAAATTTTTATCCGTCTCAATGCTACCGATAGCCGGGTCGGAAAAAGCTGGATTTTGTGAAATGGGTTCGATGACAGTTACAACCATGGGCACGTTCAGTAGCATCTCGCCATTGAGGCGAGACGCTTTCGTTATTCCCTCTGAGCTCTTGAACTCGATTTGACAGTACTTCTGGTTCTTCCCGGGAAAGCTGCCAAGTAGAGGGGGGATGGGGGGAAAAACACCAATGGGATGACGAAGAAGAGGAAGACGAAAACGACGAAGAGGAAAAGGAAGACGACGAAGAAGAAGTACGTTCCCTGTTATCCTTTCGTCAGGAGCCATGCAAAGACTGAGTGCCCGCATCCCCTTCAATGTGTAATCACTGAAACGGGCGAACGAATACACATCTCCACACAGATGCAGGCACATTCACCGATAAAGCGCAACGGTTGGCAAAGGAAACACGCCCCTTTCTCCGATTCGCAAAACTTACTTCTTAAAAACGACGCCGATTATCTCATCACATGATTCAAATTTTTCTTTTATGTCCTTCTCTGTCACATCGGTGGAAAGGTTCTTTACATAAACGACATTGGCTATGCTAAAATTTAAACTCATGTTAGGAGCTGCGTTTCACAAGTTGTCACTCGGTTTGTTTTTTTTTGGGGGGCTGCTCTTCTAAGTGAGCAGCCGCTTAAAGGGGAATGTATGTATCCACGCGTGGAGGTAGGGAAGTATCACAGCATGGAAGTATAACAGTACGGAGGTATGACAGTACGGAAGTGTGACAGTACGGAAGTATCACAGTATGGAAGTGTGACAGTACGGAAGTATCACAGTATGGAAGTGTGACAGCATAGAAGTAGGCACGTAGTTATATTTATATGTAAACCTCTGCACGGTTCAACTTCGACCCATGGGTACATATCGAGCGGTGAAGCAGCAGCCAGGAAGTGTTTCCACTACAAGGATGTATCGACAGATGGGGACTTAGAAATTGAATGAAATTGTTCCTTTTTCTTTACATTTGTAATAGTTCGTAGATGTTTTCTGTGTACCGCGTTAATGAGCAGAGGGGGGTGGCATCTATATGTTTTTTCTTTTCCAAACAGATGGATTGAAAATTTTGTGCGTAAATATATATGTAACTATATATGTAGCTATAGATATGTGGCTATATATGCACGTTAGATAAATGGAAAAAAAAAAAAAAAAAAAGCGGAAAAGATAATTCTTTTTTTTTTTTCCACAATATGATTAGCACAACACAGAAAGTATATATTAAAAATTTTGGCTCCATATATACGTAGGAGGGGAAGGAAAAATAGAACTATACCTATAAGGTCCCATTTCGAAAACCCTGCAAATTCGTTTACAGTGGGCTGAACGGCAATTAACTTCCTTCTATGTAGAGTGTTGGACCCGAGTCCAATGAACTCTGCCAAGGGAAGAATTGTAACGCAAAGAGGGGGGACATGCTTAATTAATTGTTGAGGAAAAATACAATTTTGTACAGGCGTAACAATTGCGAGAAAGGGTAATCTCTACCCCCAGGGGGTTCGGCCTCCGGTGGGCGAGGGAAGAATCGCCTTGGAGTGCATCACCACGTCGGATGGAAGCGCTACATTGGATCGCATCGCCGCGTCTCTCCCAACCGAATAGCCTCACACGCATTAAAACCCAAATTTGGGGGACACAGAAGAATGAAAAAAATGCTTGAACGGTTCAGGTGAATTACGCAGAGGCCACAAAGGTGGCTTCCACCATTTTGGAAAAAAGGGAAGCGTGAACGTCAACCAAGTTTAATGTTGTGAGAAAGGGAAATTATTCGAAAGACTTCGAAATAAAGCAGTGCACGTCTTTCCTTTGTGAGGTGCAAAGAGATAATTTCGAATTGAGTACTTGTCCTTAGGTCGCGCTTAGCCCTGTGCCATAACCCCCACCACACGTTGAGCAGACGCGCATGTTTCTTAAGTTGGATGCCTGTCAGTAGCGCATATGAATAAAATCGGGGGATCCACACTATGCTGTAGCGGAAGAAAAAAAAAAAAAAGGAGCTCCCATTTTGTCATTGTGCTGCCCATCAGTCACCGTTTTGAAAAAATTAAACTCCCGTAAAAAGACACCTCGATGGCCTTTGCAGAGAGAAATATACTCATGCCAGTTGGTACATAAATATTATGCACCATTCGAAATGAGGTTTATTCCTTGTGCAATTGGTAATTGGGGGTAAACCCAAGTAGAGGGAATTTTGTAAAAGCACACAACTGCGGAAAACGGCCCCAATTATTATGCCTTCCAGCATGTGAGTGGGTACGAAAGAGAGGAGGTCAAACATTTTGACCCAGTGTTCCATCATTTTAAAAACCGTTTGGAGCGTGGGCCCAAAGAAATAGTCAGTCCATTCACTTCGAAGAAGAACCAAAAACTGAACGGACAAGTGGCGAAATGGCATGCGCATTGTTAGCGCCTTTTCACTGCCGTCCATGACAAATACTCCCTTGTATATGACCTCATACGATTGGCACATATTTATGACTGTCTTGCGTATTTGGACGGGGCATACCCAAGCATGTTGGCCAACTGAGCAGTCTCTTTCTCCTGAGTCGAATGAACAATTTGGAGATATGCTACTGGGGACGCCCCATTGGGTGTCCCTCGAAATGGAAGATGCGCACATTGGTCAATTTGTGTAGAAAGCTGTTGCAACAAATGAACGCCTCGGAATGGGATATTTATCCCCCGAATGTATTCTAACACATGCAGATATATTTAGTCCCCCCCGGATGGGCTTCATCCCTAATGCAGTCATTCCACACGTTGGGCACTGCGCCAACTGCGGCAAGATTAACTAGAAAGATACGAATAGGAGTAGCTGCTTTCCTACCGCTTGGCCTCCTCATTCCCTTTGAGAAAAAATAATATTAAAAGGTAGGCCCATCACTTACGGAAGGTACCTCTCCGCACTTTTCTTAACACTAAAAGGGACATGCAGTAAATTATTCTCTATTGACACGCCCCACTATCAGCAAACATGCATCATCCCAAATGGATATAATTTTTTTTTTTCCCCCTTCAATTTTGTACATTTTATATAAAGATCTTAGGTAAAATAATGTTGGGTCGTTCCTTCCCCTCTGGCGCAAAAATATTATGGAAGCTCCAAAGACATCCAAGTGGACATAAGTCATTGTCTACTCGGTTATACACTTGGTCCAGCAATGTTCGTCAAAATGGGGGAGGCCCCAATTTGGAAAAATAACCACAGGGTTGCAATTTTCGGCAAAGAGAGAAAAAGAAAAGATGCCACTAGATGTATAAAACTATTTTAAAGAAGTTAATCTTCTCAATTTTTTATACACCCTTTTTTTTTACGAACAATTCTGCCTTTTTTTTTTTTTTTACATGCGTTAAAAAGGGGAGAAGGAAAAATTATGAACGGGCAAGGTAAAAAAAACAACATGTAACGAAATTTTTTAATCTTTTTTTTTTTTCTTGGGATGAGACAAAAAACGAAGAAGTGGAATATTCCATTTGAACAAAATGACGTTTAACTGCTACATAGACATTTTCGCCTTGTGACTCTAAGATAAGAAATAATACGAATGATGCGTGTCAAGGGGTAGGAGAAAAAAAAATTTGCTTATTCGAACCGTTCAGCAGCGCACGAATTGGGGGTGGATTATGGGGGCGCCGATTTGGTATGCCTCGTATTATCCTGCCACGGATGGGCGGTGGGTTGTAGAAGGGATAATCTCAGAGGAGAAGCTGTCAAGGAGAAGCCACCAAAGCGAAGCTGACAAAAGAGCTAAGAAGGAAAAGCGACATGAAAAAAAAAGTGCTTTAAATTTAAAGCATCAGCAGAATTGCCACTTCTTTTCTTTTTTCTTTTTTTTTTGCCTTTTTTTTATTTCCCTTCTACCCTTCTTCCTCCCCCCGAAAAGAAGAAATCTCTGGGAACGGAAAAATAATTTTCAAAAAAAGGGAAACTGCATTACGCATATGTAGAAAAAAACGCGCGCAATACTCGGATGTATGTATATATATATTCTCACTTATAAAAATAACAAACCGCCGGTGTTTTTTTTTCTATTTTTTTATCCATCTTTAAATCGCCAAAATTTGCATAACGTGCTGCGCGTAGCATTTTCGCGCATACCGAAATTGATGCATAGACTACTGAATGGATTTTTTTGTCATCAAACGTTTTTTTATTGGCACAAAAAAAAACAAAGAAACAAACAAAAAAATAAAATAAAAATAAAAATACAAACAAGCAAACAAAATAAAACAAAACTGTTCGATTTGCATTCCCACGGCTGCTTTTCCTTCGTGCGAAGTACATACGTGATTTGCGTATGTTTTCACTTAGAATTTAATTCCGCCCGTTTTAATACAGTTAAAATTGTATTTTTCTTGCGTTTGCTTTTGCGTCTGCTTTCGCATTTACACTTGCCTTTTCATTTTGTTCGTTCTCACCTGTGTTTTGTACAATTTCCGTCGCCCCCATTTTAGCTAACCAGTGTTTTTCCATTTCACTGCCTAGTGAGGGTGCTTTCTGGATTGCGCCTTTCGCGTTTAGCATTTTACATTATGCTTTTTTCGTTTCGCTTTTTACGTCCCCATTTTTACGTTCCTCTTTTTTACGTTTGCTTTTTTGCGTTCCCCTTTTTACCGCTCACCCCGCACGTTTCACCTTTGTCGTATGTATCACTGCCAACCCTCCAGGACACGTATTTTTACCGTCTTCCATTTTTTCAAAGACGTCTGCTCGCTGATTTTGTTTTCAGCTGCATAGCGTTATATTTTTCCGTTGCCCATCCGATCTGTTTGTTTTTTTTTTCTTTCCTCTGCCGTTTATCTAATTTTTTAAGTCTTAATTTTTTTTTTTTGCCCAGGTTAGCAAACGTGGTTGATTAAAAATGATGCGCAATTAGTGATGCCGCGGTTGTGCATTCATTTTGAAACGTCATACGTGAGAGAAAGGGTCAATTCAGGAAGGCGTTGTAGCAGAGTTTATAGCGAAAGTGGACGTGAGAAGCGAACGGAGGGAAAAACAACCAAGTTGTTTTGAACATAAAGAATACTTCACCATCCCTGGGGGTGAACACATTTAAGGGTATATGTTTGCGCACGTAGGTGTATGCTTTTCAGATCCACTCGTTGCACACGTTTGAAGAGCCACTGTAGCGACGAGATTGTTGTAACGACGCGGACTCCTCCGCCGGGTTCTTTTGTTTCAGTGTTTACGTGGCTACTAAGTCGCTTGGAAGCTGTCCAGCCGGGGGGTAGCAGCTACATTCTTTTGGCTAGTTACCACCCCAGAGAAAATCGCTCCATCTTAATGTAAGCGAAAATGAAACTGAACAGCCAAGGAGATGACACGAAGGGGACCGACGTCCTATGGGAGTCCCTTTATAATGACTTCAACGAAATTACAAAAACGAACAAGAGACACTGTAACTACATCGAAAATAGTCTTTATAATTTTTGCAAAGGGGTGAGTTCACCAGATAACTTAAGTTCCAATTTGAAGAATAGATCGAATGAGTGGCTCCTTCTTAACCATTCGAAAGGTACTACAGGAGCGGTGCCTGCTGTAGGAGAGGATAATAAGAGAAGCAGAGATAGTCCAAAGGGGAGAGAAGCAGGAGTAGGAAGTTCCAGATGGAGTAACCTTGCCATCCAGGCATACTTAAACAAAAACGACAAGCAGGAAGAAGAGGAACAGTTTGCCAACAAGAATAATGACCCAGAGGGTGTTAATCACCCGATGCTACAGGATGATCAGAAAAGTGATCGCTTATGGAGACGACATTCTTCATTCCAACCTGGTAGTGACTATTACGATGGACAGTACGTGAGGAATAAATTTCTCGATGTTGACATCGATTATTTGAAGAATGAAACGTACATCAGTTGCAACGATGTTGTGAATAGCGAAAAGACAAGACATTCCGAGTTTCAGAATAATAACAGCGGGAATGCGCTTCTGCGGGAGGAGAAGAGGAGCGCGAGCGGTGAGAATCGCGGGGTGGGCACTCAGGTTGGAGGGGAGCTTAGTTCTCAGCTTAGTGGGCACGTGGGTGCCCAGTTTGACGCTCCCTTCCGCAAGGGCAGCATGTTCAATCTGATGAAATACAACGCGGCTCTGAAGGGCCTCGGAATCGATGGAGGCATGAGCTTACACAACGGAAGCAGCATCGGTAGTAGCAGCCACACACATAAGGATGTGAACAAAGGAGTGAGTGCTTTCTTCACTTCTGATCAGCAGCATTATGAGAATGTTAAATCGGGAAGGTTGCACTTAACTGACCCAAAGGGGCTGTTTTCCAAAAGGGAGGATTATACCTACTTGCTGAGCAACAAGAAAATTTACGACAATGTGTCAGTAGGGGGGAGGGAGATGGAGAGAGGACACACCGGTGACCTTCTAGGGTTCGCCCCCCTTGATAGCCACAGGGGGGAAAGTGGAAACGGCGCCAGAAGTGCCTTGGGAAGTGGAAGCGCAAGCAACCGTCTCTTTCACAATATGAACAAGTACAGAAATTTCACAGTAAAATCGGATGAAAGCCTGACTTGCCCGAGCTTCAGCTATCATCGTGCCGCCCTGGAGGGAGGCCTCATAGGAGGAAACAATACCAAGGCTGACATGCAGAAACTCGGCGCAGATGGTGCGAATGACGAGTATCACTATGACGAACGTGGTAGTGCCCACATGGGTAGCACCAATCAGAGGCGTCACGAAGGCAATCGCACCAGCTGCAACTCGCTGGAGAAACTGGACCAGCTTCTGAAAAGCAAGTGCAGATATGTGAGCAACAGCAGGTTGAGTGAACTTGATTCTTTATTCAAAAAAAAAAACAAAGCAAACAGTGAACATTTGAGAAAATCCTTCATAAGTTGCGATAATTACAAAATTGACTCTGTTGTGTCCGAGACCTTGAATAGAAACACCGAAATGGATAAGAGCGAGTCCCCCCCGTCCGAGCAAATGGACGAAGTTAACCATAACCAACTTATACGTCGATCCAAGCGGCTAAATGAAATAAGTAGAAAATGCCTCAGTGGGTACTCCGATGTGGATCCATACGACCTGAACGAGTTGTACGAACGAATAGATAAGAGAAAACATGGAACGAGCGTTGCAGGAAGAAGTTACAGCAATGTGTTGGACGAGGGGGAGTGCGGATCCGTTCTGTCTGCGCAGAGGGTAATTGGGAAGGAAGCGGCGCTTGGTAAGAATTACGGCCTTGCGTATAATTACGCGAATGGGGAATTGGAGGAGGTGCTGTGCAATTATGTCGGCATCATCCGAGGAAACAGTGAGGGGAAAGACTCAAAGGGGAAGACGGCTGAGGAGCAAAATAGCAAAAGTGTGAGTAAGCTGTTTGAAGCATACGACAAGGACAAAATTTCCGACGTGAATGCCCCCGTGGTGAGTACCGTGGCGAGAGACAATCCAGAAGTAAACTCATCTCACGGGAATAGGAAAATGAATAAGAAGAGCAACCCGGGGCATAGCGATGATGTAGTCGGAAGTGCCACCCGTAAAAAAGGAGGCCACAGCAGCGGGTCCTTCTGCAGCAACGGGCAACCAAATGAAGAACGCCACTTTGGTAAAAACGAAACGGATGGAAGGGTACCAAATGTGGGGTTAAATCTACCCATTTGTGATAATTACGATGCGCAGAAAGGAACACAAGGGAAGAAGAAGAAAAAAAAAAACAAAAGTACTTTAGGCAGTCTGGCGGAGAATTCAGAGGAGTTATTACCCCCAGGTGGTGACTCGAAAGGTGACCAAGAGGGCAGCAGTCCCAACGCGGGATTCAAACTGGCGAGTATAAAATTTCCTGGCGATGAAGAGGAGGAGGACTCTCCTTTCGGTGGTGACGCCAACAAGAGTGCAACTGACAAGGATGAGCTCCACGGGAAGGTAAAAAACGACGTTTATAGTTACGAGGTAGAAGAGGAGGAAGAACAACTAGGCGGTAATAACAAGATACCTCCTCATGGTGAGGACAACATAACTGAGGACGTCGAAAGGGGATCCCATCCGAAGGGAGGAGACGCCCCGGAAAGAGACAACAACAGTGTAATCACGAGCAGTTCCAGTGCGCGCAATTTTATTAAACATCCAGATTTTGAAAAAATGTATTACAATCAGAAGAAGGAGAAAGTTCCGTACGCAGAGGAAAGGAAAATAAGTGATTCTCAACAGAAGGCTCTCGAGCAATGCTACGACAACATTAACCATGCCAATGATGTGAAGAGACTCTTTCGCGAAAAAAATTTCCTTCAAGATTTATGTGAAAAGAGAAAGGTCATTATACAGAAGAGCAAAATTGAAAACACCAAATTGAACGTTGAGATTAAGTCACTACTGAGCTTTAACAACAATTTGAGTTACGCATTGAAGGAGAAGGAGGCGGAAATTAAAATGCTAAAAAAGCAGAAGGAAGAACTTGAAATGAATTTAATGAAACGAATAAACAATAACGGAAGTACTCAGTATTCCCTCCTGAGCAACTTCACGTCTTTTCCTACGCTTTGCAGAAATGAGAGATCGAGTGGGGTGCAGAGTGATAGCGGCGCGTGCCACCTGCTGCGCAACAGGAGCAGCTGCACCATTTTGAATAACATCGCCGATGCGAGTGCCAGCGTCAGCAGTGGCGGCGGTAATCAATCCGCCCTCATACAGAGCTACGAGGAAAAGATCCAGGAGCTTCTCGTGCAGGTGAAGATGTACCAGACTAAGAATAGCGACTTGCAGGAGCAGTTGCGCATTTTTATGAACGAGTAGGAAGCTGTGCCGGGGGAAAAGCGGTCCACAAGGGGAAAAACCCGTTGAAATGGAATAGACGCCTAACTGGAAGGATTGCTCCTCCGCGCCGCCGTCCACCCGCAAATGGACGCACCTTACTGCGGGGCTTGTCGTGTTTGTAGCGCTTTTCGCGTCCACTGAACCTTTCCTTTTGTTTGTGTTCAGTCTTTTTCCGTTTGTGATTTTACCACATGGCCACTGCGCCATTTAACCGTTTAACCGTTTAACCATTTAATCGTTTAATCATGTCCTGTTTGCCATTTTTTCAACGCGTTGCAGCTTTTCTGCAAAAATGGGTAGCGTGCTTGCCCTACGTTGTCCCATGTGTTTGTATTAATCCCTCCTTTTGTGCGGGGGCATATTGCATTGGTAAAACATGTACACTCCCGCGGTGCACCTTTTTTTTTCCACATCCTTTTTTTTTCATCATATGACCAACTTGTTTTAATTTACTTAGCAATTACAATATTTTATGAATCGTGTGTTATTCAAGAGGAGAAAGGAAACAATTAAGTTAAGAAAGGGCACACAGAAAATGGGGGGTAACGTAACATTTTGAGGCACTGCAGACTTTTGGTGTATAAAATATATTTGTGTGTGTGCACAGTATTACGGAATGTGCCCATCACGGGCTACAAATGACGCACTTGCAACAGTGAGTGAAAAGGGCGAGCATCAAATCGAGGCGCGAAGGCGTCACTGACTTAGCGACGGTGTAGCATCAAAAAATGTGGCAAATTTATACGCCTTTATTTTATTTCCTTTTTTTTGTTTTTTTTTTCTTTTATCATGCAGTAGATCGCGAATGGCGATTACGTTGTTCGCAGCCTTTGGAAAACAAAACCCCACTTGCGCTCCGTGTGTACGCGCGCGTATAAACAGGGGCGCTACGTTTATAAGGCTCTACGCAGTGGTACGTATAATGACCGCTAGCAACGGTTGCGGCCACTGCGATCACATCAATGGCGGACCACACACCCCTATTAGTTGCTGTTCCGATGGTAAACTAATCACAAAGAGTTACTTGAATTATTTCATGTGTTTAATTATAATTTTTTGCAAGTTACTCGTGACAAAAATTTGAAGGGGAGGAAAAAAAAAAATGAAATAATGGGAAAGGAAGGGAGAAGAAGCGAAACGACGGTAAACGACGGGAAAGGGGGAAAAATTAAGCTACTTTTTTCTTGGGTCGTATGTAAGTAATGTAGGCAAAATGGACAAACAAAATTAACAAAGAAATGCAGTAGTAAAAACTCAGGGCGATCAGTCTTCTGGGGTAGTAGGAGTTCTTTTTCAAAAACAAAACGCAGAACGCTGGAAGGATGATGGCGAGAAACTGCAAAGGGGGGAAAAAGAGGGGAAGCAAGAATGGGGGAAGTTACGTCTCATAAGGTGAATGTACGTGCATCTGATCTGTTCGTGGGGATAACCACTCGGACAGAGCCGAAAAAAAAGCAATGTCGAGTCTTCTATCACCCGGTAGAGGGTTACTCACCTGTATCATTTGGATATACGTCACGCAGGCCTTGGCAAACACGGGGACTTTGAATTTCATGCTCGCTAGGAAGTAGTAGAGGTACATGATGAAGTGCACGATGGAGCTGTCGGGGGGGGAAAAAAAAAGGTAAACATAAGTGAACGTTTAGCGGTGAGGTGGCGGTAACGGCAACCGTAGTGGTAACTTCAAATGCCATACTAGCAGGGCAACTCTATCTGGACACTCATTGCTTATAGCCCATGAAGGTATGAGGAGAATTCGCTCCCCCCTTTTGAGAGGCTACACATTGCAGGCATGCAGCTCGCTTGTCCTACTTGACGGTGATGACGTAGTAGATGTCTCCATCATATCCCACGCTGGCGTTAATCCACATGATGAGGAAGACGGAAATGTGATGGTATACGTGGAGGAAGGTGAACTGATTCCATTTCTTTCTCAGTACAATCAAGATGGTGTCCATGAAATCAAAAAGTTTGTTGCTAAATAGGAGGGAAGAAAGGGGGTTGTGGTGGATGCGGCGGTTTCTTTGGTTGTGGCGGTTGCGGCCGCTGTCGTGGATGCGGTGGAGGGGGGCAAGGAATACCAGAGATCATTCTGTATGCAAAACACCATATGTCAGGGGGTAATACCTCACCAAATGACGTGAAGATGCCACTTCTCCGTGAAGGAGCGTCTTCCCCCTCTACAAATGCAAAAACTTACAGATAGAAGAGCCAGCAGCAAAGTGCAATGTTAGTCTTGGAAAAATCGACGTAGTTGTGGATGAGGGAAAATTTTCTCTTTCGCACCTCAACTATGGTTAGCACGGTGATCACTAGGCTGAGCAGGACCTGTATCGGGGGAAAAAAAGAAAAAAAAAAAAAAGAGGAAAGGGGAAAGCGTGTGTGCGCAGATGAACCCATTTGGGGTGGTTATATGTACAAACTGGGACTTAGCATACAGGAGGACACTTCGCATAGACGCGTGCAATGAAACCGGAAGAATTAGTGCATTCCACTCACCTGAAGCAAATTGTACGCAGGGACGGCCTTTGCTAAAATGTCATCAAGGCGAGGACTCTTCGACTTGGAGCTTGAAGACTTTATCTTGGCCAACCCCTTATCGGACTTGAGCTTAGACGCGTAGTAGGCATTATAGGCATAAGTGGCCAGAACGAACAGGACATAAAAGAAAAAGGCCATAAAGAAATGGGTCGGGTTCATCATGAACCAGTTTCTGGTAACTCTTCTGCCATACTTCAAATTGGGGTTAAAAAATTTTAAAATACTTTCTCCAAGGTTGTTTAGGAAGGCTATGTTGAGGGCCATTTTGGAGCACGTTGGAGGGTGGCTTTTGGGTGGCTGTATGGGCGGCGGGGGGAAGTGCGTGTGTACGTATCTATCGAAGTAGATATGTATAGACGTATAGAAGTAGCTATGTATACATGTATCGATGTGTCTATGTATAGACGTATCTATCGATGTCTCTATCTACGTGCCTGCGCGCGCTAGGGGCAACAGGCTATGGGAAACGCACTACGGGAAATGCACCACGCGGAACGCCCTAGGCGCAACGTATCTAATCCAAAGCTGCGATTACTGGGCGCGCCCTTCCTGTCATGTTAGACTCACGCTTCTCAGTTCACGAGGGGGGTAGGGGGAATATTCCAAGGGCAACCAGGAGCTTTAATTTGAACTAGGAACAAATTATGCCACAAAATGGTGCACGAAAAAATTTTAAAATAAAGATTACAAAAAAGAAAAAAAAAAAACGGGAGAAGGGTAATCTGCTACATGGGGCAAGCACACGCATGCGAGGGGGGCAGAGGGTGTACGTAAGCACAGAGAACAAAGGGATGTGCAACGAACAAGGGATGCGCAGAAAACAATGAGACGCGCATGTATATATATGAGATATGTACGTGTTATGAACAGAAAAGAGAACTGCAAAAAAATATTCGGCTAAGATTTTTTTTTTTTCTTCTTTTTCGGTGGGGCCTCAAACAAAACTTTCATGCCTTAACTATTGCACTTGTACTACACTGAGGAGCGCGTAACTGGTAAAACTGCTGCTTAGGAGATCTAGGATGGAGTGGAAGCACCAAGTGAGGAAAAAATGATAAAAAGAAGAAACTCTTATTTTCCTTGCGTCTTTCTCCAGAATAATCGGTTTAGATAAGAGGGGAAAAAATAATGAAGAAAGAAAAAAACGCGAATAAAAGAAAACGGTAATTAAAAAAGAAATAAAATAAAAGCTGAGCAAGGAATGGAGGAATGACCAAGTGGTGTTTAAGTAAAACTGAACGGAGATCATGAATTTAAAAGTAAAGCTCAGAATAGGTTAGTAAAAATAATAAAATGCACAAAATTGTAAACGGCATTTTTGTTTACTTATCAGTTGAATTAACCAATTAGCGTATATAGCTAATATTAACGTATTGAATTCTATACCCAAGTTAATTTTTCCGCGAGGGGAAAAAACAAAAAAAAAAAAATAATAAAAAATTCCGCAGGGCGTTTTTTTCAAGTGAACATATTTACCTAACTAGTTGCCAAACCATAGCGGCACTGTTGCGCCTGGAGGGTACCGTCGCGAAATTACGATCAAAACGCATAGGGTAATAATTTTATACTGCGTACCGTGCCGCAACACTGAACAGGGGTGAAAAAAAAACACCTTTGCGTTACGCTCACAAATAAAATATTGCGCATTGTGGCGCGAGGTTCATCTAATAGAAAAATTTCGCAGCGCCCAAATTTAATTGACTCCCTTTTGTGAAAAGAGCGAGAAAGTTATACGTAATGGGAATGCCTCGGAAAAGGTACAGTTTGAAGAAATTCAAAAACAGCATTGTCGATGCGTAGCAAGTATGGGACGAGTGTGATCGTGAAACTGTAAAAGGGTTAAACGACCTTGGCGCCCACAAGGCGGAGAGGCTTCGCCAGGGTCCCCTCGGAAAGGTGCGGCATTTTTACCCCAGATCTGCCGCAATTCTACTCCAAATTTGCGGCAATTCTACCCGAAATCTGCCGCAATTTTACCCCCCAATTGTGCGCAAGGCAATGTGACTGCCAGCTGCGTCCAGATGTTTCCCCCCCTCCCCGCAGTGGGCAAAGAAGGTTTCAGATTCCCCCGGTCACGCCTGAGCATCCCACACATGGCACATGGAAAATAGCATTGTATACGTCTAAATACCTTCTACATTTTATACGTTTGTGTGACTTTCCTCATGAGGGGAATTCTCCCCGATGAACATTTTTCCCTTTTAATTTTCGCCCATGCGAAGATTGGGGGCTGCGTGTTGGGGACCGGCGCAACTCCTCATTGGTCGATAAAAATAAAAGTGGGGGGAGGAGTATGGGAGGGACTTTGCGTGCAAAGTCGCAGACATGTACACTAAATCGAGCAGCTCAAAATGGTCAGAGGGTGAATGGTCAACTGGGAGGAAATTCTTGGGAGGGGATATATTTCCCCAAATGGTCGAGTAAATTTGCGAGACTTCAAATGGTAGTGAAAGGGAAGTAATCGTTTTTGTTTCTCTCTACACTGACACAGAAAAAACAAAGTGGAATTTCGCACTTACTCAAAAATGACGGTTCTTTTTGTTTTCCTCTTTGCATTTTTTTTTTTTTTCGGTCACTTGATCTGTTGTAAAAGGAAAATTAAACAGTAGAGGCACTCCATAACGTGTTTTTTTTTTTTCTTTTTCAAATTCGAACACCTCCCCTTGCATAGCTAAATTCCGCCGTTAATGTTTTTTTTTTTGGATAACCACTCAGCTGAATGATTACACAGAAAGGGAAAAAAACGTGACAGGGATGTTTTCCACCAATTGATCGATCTGCACCGTTTTATTATTTTTTTTACGTCGGAGGAAATTTTTACGGCAAGTTCTTTATCCTTTCACCTGTCGGTGCCTTAATTGCGCTTTTAATTATCTTCCCCACTTGTGCATGCTCCTACACATTGTTGGAACTAAATGGTGAAGTTCCGAAGAGGCACGTTTAATTGTGCGTCCCATCTCGTCGCACATTTTTGCAAAAAGGGGGTAAGTCTCTCCAAACGACACTCTATGAAGTAGCCAAAAGGAATCTGAGCCATTCTGTATGGTGTCGAAGGGGGCTACTACTGCAAGGGTTACACCAGATTTTACTCCCCATTGCATGCACAAAATGGATTGGGTTCAAAATATAATTTTGTTACATTTTCCCCATTTTATCGTTTAAAGGCATGTTAAAAGCAAGGCCCAACACTCATGTGCAAGGTTTGCGTGAGGAACACTGCCGCCTCTGTAATAATAACTCGGAAGAGAGCAGCGCCATTTCGCTCTACCTTTACGATGACTACCTGTCGTTGTGCTCTCCCTTTTGATTCCCCCCCAAAATGTATCTAACGTGGGGAAAAAAAAAAGGTACACCGCGGAGAAGGAAAAGGCTGCCGAAAAGGGGGTGACCTGACCAACTAGGGCAAGAGGGTGGGCAGGGACCTTCATGCCGAATAGAAATAAAAAAGGAATAAGCAAAATAGCTAACTTAAAGCAGAAAGGAGTGCACCTTTTTTATAGGTTCTCCAACTGCTAAGGACCCTTTCCGAACTGTCTGGTTAACTTGTGCAATTGCCCCATGCCACACTCTTCACCCTGAAGGTGTGGCCCCTCCCACTGTTATTCACACGTATGAAAGTGGAATCCATCTGAGAATGAGGGGGAAATGGGAGTCCAAAAGGAGAAACAAATAATCTTTCGACGAAACGCAACAACCCTCAGATGTGTGATAATAACAACTGATTGAAGAAGCATTTTTCTGATCTAAAATGGGGTGAATTTTTCTTTTCAGCTATTTTTTTTTAGGGATTTTTTTTAGGGATTTTTTTTAGGGATTTTTTTTAGGGATTTTTTTTTTTTACCAAGCTAATGGCCTTCAGTAAGATAAACCTTGGGCTCTGGGAATACCACCTGCTGGGTCTCCTCTTTTCCCTGGGGCATTTTTTTTTTTTCTTTTTACTTCTCCTTATGTTGTCATGTTAGTGATAAATTTAGCTTATTCTTTTCGATTGGTTCAATTCTGGAGGAAGTCCTCCTTTTGGCATTCGCATTTAATGAAAAGGTGCGTTTTTTTTTTTTTTTCCAACAGTGTGAGTACACCTCAGGTTTGTTTAAGTCCGGGAGTTGGCTTCACCTCCATTTTTGATTTGTTCACCATTACACGCACAACTTGTTTTAGCGACCCCGTGTGGTCGAACTGTGCGAAGCAGTTGTAGCTAGGGGGATGCAGACGAGGGATGGATCTCCCCCTCCGTTTCGCCCATCCGCAACAGGGAAAAGTGATGTGTTTTCCTGATTTTCTTCATCGCTTGTTCCTCGTCTGTTGCATTGTTGGTTGGAACTTTTCTTGCGAAGAAGTCCTTTTGGTTGGGTCTCGTTTCAGTTGACCTTTCTTGAGCGAAGGTGTGTCTCCTAGGGCAGTCAACTCGATGCACCGGCTATGCGCGCGCAAGGGTGTGCATAGTGGGGAGATGCCCACCACTGCGGCGTCTCTACTGAGCTACTACCCATCTGTTACTCCGCCGATACTCTGCCGCTACTTGGCTACTCCCCCATGACGACGCTGGAAAAGATCGGGATCCAAGGGATACGGAGCTACTGCGACGAGGAGGCGCAGGAGCTGGAGTTCGCCTCGCCCATCACAGTGATCTATGGAAATAATGGGAGCGGAAAGTCGACGATCATCGAGTGTCTGAAGATGAGTTGCACGGGGGACTTTCCCCCCAATGCCGATAAGGGAAAGTCATTCATACACGACCCATTAATATCAAACAAAATGAACATCAGGGGAAAAATAAATCTGATGTTAAAAAATTACAACAACAAAAGGATTGGCATCTCCAGATCATTTAGTCTATTTTATTGTAAAGACAAAAATAAAAAAATAAAACAGACCTTTAGAGCGCTGGACAACAATATAATCATAAAAAAAGAAAAAGGACAAGATGATGTAATCATTACGAACAAGTGTCTAGACATAAATGATCACATTCCCAAATTAATGGGGGTGTCAAAGGCGCTGCTGGAAAATGTCATTTTATGTCACCATGAGGAGAGTCTTTGGCCATTTAGCGAGTCATTAAAAATAAAAAAAAAATTCGATGAGCTTTTTGGCGATGAGCATTTCTCAAAAATCTTGGATGAATTCACAAAATGTAGAAAGACAATGAATGATGTGCTCAAAAGGAAAGAATATGAGTTAGCCACATTGAGAGAGTGCTATGATAAAAAAAAAAACATCGCTTTGGACATCCAAAGGAACGAAGAAGAGATAGAAGAGTGTCAAACGATTATGAGATTGGACAAGGAAGAAGTAGAAGAAAGTTTTCTCATTTTAAATAAGTTAGAAAAAAAAAAATCCCTCTTGGGAAAAGTAACTTCCAGCATTGACATGTATTTTGCTATCCAGGAGAAATTTCAAGATGACCTTCAAAATTATAAAACGGTGAAGGAGATATATGAGGAGGATGCCTCCGAGTTAGAACATTTTGCTGAACTCTTCCAGAGGGACTTGGCCAAGTGTAACTCTCTAATTGAACAAGTCAGTAATGAGTTCGCTCTGCTGGAGAAGCAGACCTGTTTGCCTGTCCATTCCTGTGACGAAGCGGACGTCAAAGAACGAGATGGAATCTGCTCCAGTTTATTTCATTTGGAGAAACGGCGGGGGGAGGCAGACACTTTGATCAAAGCCACTTTGGATCTGGATAACTCGTCCACCGCGAATGGGGTGAAGAGGAGACATGTAGGGAAGAACCTCTCTGAGGAGCGTACCAGGATGGCTGGCTTTATCAAGGCGAATGAGCCCATTTGGGGGGGCTTGCTGGTTCAGTGGAGGGCCCTCTTTGGGGAAAAGGGCCCCAGATGGGTGTTCCGCCGGGGGAGGGCGGCCACCAGTGTTGGACGTGGGGGGGTGAGTAGCGAAGATGGGATAAACCTCCGTGGGAGTAGCGATGATGAGTGTAGCAAAAACGGACGTTGCGATGATGGGGGTAGAGACGACGGACGTAGCCACGGTGAGGGCACCCCTGATGAACCCACCCCCGCTGTGGACTCTACCAATGGAACCATCACCAGAGGAAATCTCCCCTGCGTAAAGCACATGCGCAGGAGATGCGCGCAAACACTGGCACTGCTCAGAGCCGAGGTGCGGAAACACGCCCGGGAGCGACTCCATATTAGGAGGAAAAAAAAGATACTCACGGAAAAGGCGAAGAAGTGGAGAAGGAGGGTATCCAAAATGGACAAAAGAATTGCCACCATGGAGATGCACAAAGATTATTTGACCAATTTCAAATCGAGCGACGAGTCGTATAAGCAAAATTGCAACCATTTGGACAAAATGAATCAGCTGGGATGCGTGTACGACAGCATCGGCTTGAGCGAGGCGAACTGCGGGGAGAAGCCCAGTTATATGAATGATGACACTGAGAGGAAGAAAGAGGAGCTCAAACAAATAGAACAATTGAACAGACAACTAGAGCAAGTCTTGCTCCTTGGAAAATACTATGAAAAAACCTTTGAATATTTTTTGCGCCTCCGGAGGGTGCATCGCAAGGTGGCATCCTTCTTCGATGAGCTGCGAGCCCTTCTTTGCGAACTGAGGAAGCTACCCAAGGTGTGTCGCTCCATAGGGAAGCCTAGCAGAGATTGGGCGGAAGAAGCGGGTTTGGTAAAGGGAGTAGACTATGGGCAGGAATGCTCTACGGGGGAAGAGGAGGAGAAAGAAGAAGTCGAGGGGCGAGCCGAGCGGGGAGGCCAGGACGAAGACGAAAAGAAAGACTCCAATGAAGAGGAGCACGGAGAAGCAAGTGCCGCCTCCGGAGAGATACACACAAAACCAGCAGGAACAAAGAACTTGACCAAAATTGTCAAAGTGGAAAATTTCACACCGTTAGGGAGTCCCTCCCAAGCAGATTCGAGCAAGTATCCCGACAGGGAGCAGCCCCATGGAGAGGCCTTCACTGGAGGGGCCTTCACTGGAGGGGCCTTCACTGGAGAGACCTCCACTGGAGAAGCTTGCAGTAAAAGGAACAAACGGATGAACCATCCCGGCGAAGAGATCAATAATCAACCGAAACGGAAGAATGTATTAAAGATGGAACCTCCCCCTGGACAAAGCTACTTGACCAAATTAAAAGGTGTGATCAGCCAGTATATAAATAAGTACGACAAGAAAATAAAAGAGGTGGAAAAAGAAACCTACAAATTGAAGAAAACATTGGTCTTAACATCCGAAGCATTACGCGATGTGAGCAAGCGGGTAGGACGTTACCCAGATGTGCTAGCTCAATTCTTGGAGATGATCGAAAAGAAGAATTTTAAAAGCGTAAAAGATTTTTTTGTCCATTTTGGTCAAGTCAGGAAGGACATGAGGAAAATCAAAATGGAGATGGTCGCTTTAAAAACTAAGGAAGAATCGCTGATTCGTTTTATGCAACATGCCGAAGGGGAGAAGGCATGTCTGATGTGCAAAGGACCCATTGCTGATGTTGCTCTGGATGGATTCACCTCGCTAGAGATGGATAAAGAAAGGAAAGACATAGCCCTAGAGATAGAAGAGAAGGAAAGAGGGCTCACCAAATTTAGAGGCCAAAAAAAAGAATTGATGATTCTTTTAGGGTTTTACTATAAGGAGGTTTATCCCCTACATAGGGACAGTGCCTCCTTGAGTGAAATTATTGACTCACTTAAGAAGCGATTGCTGGATCTACAAAATGGGGTAGAAAGCTGCTCCGAGAGGATACATAAAATGAATGGAAAGTACCAATTGATGAAGATTTTGCAAGAGAGGTGCGCCCATCTGATGGAGAGCGAAATGGATATCTTTTGCGAGAAGGAGAAGCTGGACGGGAAACAGTCCGATGTAAGGGATGCGCTTAGTGGGCTAAGACAGATGCTCAGCGGGGGGAAGCATCTTAGGGAAGCCCTCCATTCCATGCTAGAGTTCCTCGAAGTGGGAGAAAGATCCAATGGAGGAGAGGCATCCGATGGGGGGTCCTCACAAAAGAATCTGCGTCATCTTCTTCGTGAGTTTCTCCCGAACGTTACCCTCCTGTGTGAGTGTCCAGATGTCCACTTCATGATGGAGAAAATCAGTGCATACATGGAAGACAGCTGCGTCCTATTTCCTCGAGAAGACCTATCCTGCGATCTCGGGGCGACATTTCCAGATAGGGTGGAGAGTAAGATGCACCAAGTTGTGATAGGAGAAATAAAGAAAGACAAAGTGGGGAAAAAGTACACCGGGCAAAACTACACGGGGAACACCAAGTCGGGGGAGGAGCCAAGAAAGGAACCACACAATATAGCTGACCACTGCACTGAATATGTGGAAACCAAGATGAGGAGTTTCTGTCCACAAAAAAAAGACAGCTCTGTTAATTACACAAAACGTAGGGAAGAGAAAACGCCCCTCTTGAGTAACACCCCCGTGTATGAATCTTCCAAGTGCCAAGTGGACGAACCGAACGAGATGGGCACCCTCGAATCAATAGCCATAAATAATGACAAGTTCATAAGGGCATACGAGAAACTTCAGATGTACGTCACTCTGGAGGCACTGAAGAAGGAGCAAGAAATAGACGTTTCCGTTCGAATTAAATCAGTCATTCGTGAGAGGAAGGAAATGATTAGGAGAAAGACAGAAGAAGCACAGCGCATCGTAGAAAGGGAAAAACAAATTAGGGAGTCCCTCCACAAAGCGCAGGAGTACATCGAGAAGCATCAGCGTAGGAAGAATCATTTGTACGGAAAAGAAGAAGCAATGGTGACAAGAATAAAAGAGTTGCACCTGCGAGATAAGCACATCAGGAGGAACATTCGAAGGTGCAGAAACGACGTGGTACTCCAAAATAAATTGTATTACGTCAAAGTGGAGATGGTGAAGCTGCTACACAGACTCGTGGCCAACATCGAAATGGACATGGAAAAAAAGAAAAAGGAACTGAAGAAAGTGGAGGAAAAGATACACAGTAACGAAATTATACAAAATGAATCAAACGAGCTTGCAAAAAAATTGAGTCAAAAGAAGGAGCAAATTCTGTCTTTACAGGAAGAAAAAATCAACATTGAAAAAATGCACCACAATGTTGTTATCAATACTAATTTGAAGAGAATGCACGAAAGGTTTTTACTCCACCAAAGGAATTTTATTTCCTCCCTGGACAATTTTAGAAGCTCGTTCTTCTCGCCCGAACAGAAGGGGGAACACCTGGATACAGTGAACTCCATGATTGATTTGCTGGAGGAAGTGTACCAAACGGATTGCGATATTTACAAATTTGTGAATGAAAGCTTTTCCTTCTTGGAGCACAAAAGGGAGTTACTCGATTTGGTCTACGTCGAGGATGAGTCCCTGAGGGACCAAATAGAAGTTCACTCCAAAGCGACGACCAGTCTGAAAATGAAAGAAGCCGAAATGAAGGGGAAAATCGAGTTGAGGAAAGAATACATAGATAAGCTAACCACCGAAATGAACTCCGACACCTATGTTGACATTGAAAAAAAATATAAAAAAAAAATTATCGAAATTTTTGTATACAAAAATGTGATCAAAGATATCTGCAATTTTTACAACTCCTTCGATCAAGCAATCATTAAATTCCATTCTCTGAAGATGCAAGAGATTAATTTGTCCATTAGGAATTTATGGAGGAGGGTTTACAACAGTGCCGACATTGACTATATATACATAAAATCAGAAGTAGAGATGGAGAATAATGGGAAAGTTCAACAGAGAAGGTCATATAATTATCGCGTCGTCATGGTCAAAGATAACTGCGAATTGGATATGAAAGGAAGATGCTCATCTGGACAGAAAGTCCTATCCTCCATCATCATTCGACTCGCTTTAGCCGAATCCTTTTCCATCAAATGTGGAATTTTAGCTCTAGACGAACCGACGACAAATTTGGATAAGTCTAATTCTAAAAATCTGGCTAGCCTCATTGCCAATATTGTCGACCTAAGAAAGGACAGCTCCGCTTTCCAGCTTATTCTCATCACGCACGACACGCACTTCGTGGATGTGCTTTCGCAGTACGGGCTGACAAACTGCTTCTACAGGGTTAGGAAGAACAGCCTGGGATACTCGACAATAGTGAGGGTGCGCCAGTAGGGGCGGAGGCATTCGGGGCTTCTGCACTACCCATTGTGATATATGTTCGTCTCAACGAAGAAACCCATTTGTACAACAGCATCAAATTGCGCTACCTTTATTTGTTCATCTAAGATGAGGTGAACACATGAAAATCCATTCAGAGGGAATCATTTTTTCCTCTTTTTTTTTTGGAGCATATTCCACCCCATATTCTTAGTGTGTGCTGTTATGTTCTTTTTCCCCCATAGTTTCCTCTTTTTACACCATGCGTGAGAAGGAGCACATTTGAATGGTTCGGCAGGACAGCTTCCCCTTCCACAAAAAGGAACAAATTTACTCCAACAGCTAGTGTTAGTACGTACCCCCGTGGAGATGTACACCTTGAAGGATACGCCCTACGAATGGCAGAAGTTTTCTTAAAGGTTGTGCAAAAGTGAGCCAGGCTTTCTGGAGGGTGCCAACAAGTACCGCTATAGAAGCAGCGCCACACAAATAACATGCCGGCTCAGCATACATTTTTGACAAAAAAGTGGTACGGGGAAATATTTATGCACTTCCCCATATGTACCCTCCGAAATGGCGTTTCACGGAAAAACACTTCTGGCAGTGGAAAACGTAAAAGCTCACTTGCTCGTACGTGTGGTGTGTTAAGCATGCAATTAGAGTTTGCATCATCATGAAGAGAAAGGCATCTTAAGTGGGTGCTTTCTTTTTTTTTTTTTTTACGAAGAGGTGTGCCCAAAGTTATACTAAGGAGGGGAAGAAGGAGCATTTTGGATAACGCTCAGTTGCAAATCGGCTTTGAACAGCTCCCTGTGGAATAACTCCCCTTGGAATAACTCCCCTTGGAATAACTCCCTATGGAATAACTCCCCTTGGAATACCCCCCGTGGAGTATCCCCATTGGAGCACCACCCCGTTGGAATGACTCCCTTTGGGGGGACCCCGCTCCGCCGAAACCGCGGCTTGTTTTCTTCTCTCCTGGGCCACCTCACCCTGCGGACGGTGAGGCGTCCAATCACTGGAGCAGTTTGGAGGGGTCGTAGGGGACTCCGTTCTCCAGTCTCTGCTCTGAGACGATTATCGGCTTCACGTTCAAACTCACGTTATCGTACAGCTGGCCGTGCTCGTCCAGCCCAGTGGCGTCGAGGTTCTTGTTTTGGGACATAGCCAAGGACTCCAAGTACTCGTCTACCAAATAGTAGTTGTAATAGTACTTAAACTTGGAGTACTGCTCCTTGGTGCTGTTAATCCTGCACGATTTTTTGGAGGTGTCTTTTCTGAAAAGGCAATTACTATCCAGCTCGGATAGGTCGTCCCCCTGGTATTCATCCTCCTCGTATTGATCCTCCTGGCCATTTCCCCCCTCTTTCCTATGCCTCAACTGTTGCGAAATCTTCTTTTGACTATGAACCCAGTCGTCCAGCACCTCTTCTGGCAAGACTACTTTCGTCGCACTTTCGTCCACCGGCAGTTTTATTTTACAACTTTCGCGATACACTGGCTGCCATTCTACGTTCTGATGATCAGTAGGAAGGAATTCGTTTACGCTCCTCTCAGTTGCTTCCTGTTCTTGAATGCTTTTATTCGTGAGTTTCGTTTTCTGCAAATCTCTTATGGTCTGATCATGCTTGCTCGAAAAGAGCCTTCTGATTTTGTCCCCGATGCTCATCCCATTGCCTTGTTCGGTCTGTTGATTTTCTGACCCGTTCCTGACACTCCGGTGCATCATGCTTCTCGCCCGATTTTTATAAATTACGGGCTTCTGAAATTGGGCACTCTCGTTCGATGCTACCGTGGAAGAGTTATTCATTTTGGCTTTTTTTTTTTTTTTCAATGTACGATAAAAGTGAGAAGAAAATAGTTGTCACTTCAACGGGGGAAGACGGGGGTTATTCGTGGCCAATAAATGAGTATACGCAGACACGCGCGGAAAGGTGTGTAGAGACGTGAAGATTTGCGTCTGTTAACAATCGGGGGCAATCTAACACGCTCAACTTGTTTATTCATTCGTTTGTTGGCAAAAATGGCGCTCCACAGTTATTCACGATATTGTTCTATGTAAAATTGTCATTTCTACGCGTTGCTATCCAACGCTTTGATTTTATGAGTCTATGCGAATTGCAAAACAAAGGGGAGTGCATATACAAAAGTGTGCAGCTACGTGGGTGCATGTTGTTTTGTGACCAGCGCGCGCGCTCTAATCTAAGCCTACTTTTTTTTTCAGCGAAATGGGGTAAATTGTTGAAAATTTACAAACCGTTGCTGAGACCTTTCTGCAACGAAAATTGGTAATCTCAACAAATTGACGAGAAACCTAACAATAGAAGAACAAAGGTTAAAGTAAAAATAGTGAAAACGGTTAACACGCACCAGGAGGCAAGCACGCAGCTGCTAATGCTGTATATATAACTGCACGGATAGCTACACGTTTGCATGGGAAGGCTTGTTAAAAATTAAAACGTTTTTCAGCCTTCTGCTACGAAGCGCGAAAAACGTGCATATGTTGGACAAGGTTCGAAGGGAACTGCTACTGTCCTATTCGTTAAAAGTCCTTTTTTACTTGCTCATAAAGGAAAAGGCTCCTTGTTTGACGAATTGGAAGTACGTTTTGGAAGTCTACACCGTATGTGCACACCTTGTGCAAAAAGGGAAAATAAATACCCGCACGGGTGTACACATGGGTGTATATGTATATTTTTTTTTTTTTTTTTTTTTTTTGTGAACAGCTAATTTACAACGGCACAAAACACACGACTCCTACGAGCCCATGGCTTTTAAAGACAAAAAATATGACCCGTTCGGACAAATTTTAGCTACAAATAGGTATGAAAATTTAAAAAGAAAAAATAGGTTTTTTTTTTTTATGAACAAATTGGAATAGTTGTTCAGGTAAAATATAACCCACAATGTCTTGTAGCTAGTTATAGCTATGACCAATTAGCTAAATAAAAAAAAAAAATCCACACAGCCATACCGAGTTGCAGGGTTAAGAAGGAAAAAAAAAAAAAACAGTTACACACAGTTTCGTCTGTTTTCTTGCTATAGAACAGCAAAGAATGCATTGCCGAATTTTTGCATCTGTGTGTATATCAAATTGGGGTACTGGCACAACCCCCCCCC